TGTTCCTGCCTCAGAATAACTGCACTGGTTATTCCCTCTGCCTGGAATACTCTTTCTCCAGATCATTGCTTGGCTGATTCCTCCTCAGGTTTCTACTCCAGTGCCATCTCTGAAGAAAATCCTACCCTGACCATCCTATCTAAAACATTCTCCCTTCTGCTACCACTCTATTTCATTATCTGCTTTTAGTTTATTGACTTTATTTCCACCTAAACTTATATTTATTTGTGTGTTTTCTGTGATTATTGCCTGGCTCTTCCCACTAGAATGTAAACTTCAGAAGGACAAGAATCTTAGGGAAACAATAGAACATAGTGGTTAAGAGCATGTCTTCCAAAGCAAGAATGCCTAAATTCAAATTCCAGTTCTACCACTTATTAGCTGAGTGACTCTGGGAAAGTTACTTCTCAGCTTCCTCTTCTGTAAAATGAGGATAATAGTAATACTTTACACGGTCATTGCAAGCATTAAACTGTCTTAATACATGCAAAGTATTGTATACCCAGTACCTAGACAAGTGTCTGGCATGTAGTAGGTGACCAAGAAATATCCGATGGCTGACTGCATGAATGAATTCTTGATGCCTCCTGCCCCATCCCTTTTTCCCGCCCAGGATTAAGTTGATTCTCCTGTTATGTGTGCTCACAGAACCCAGACTTCCTCCAATCTCTAATTGCTGGGTATAGCTATATATTTATGAGTGTGATCTTTGTAATAACAGGCCTCTCTAACTAAACTGCAAGCTTGGTGAGGGCAGGGCCTATGTCTGTCATATCAACTATGGGATCTCTGCTGCCTAGCTTAGTTCATGACATAATAGATACATAATAAATATTTATTGGCTGAATGACCCAAAAGCTTTGGCTCCTTTTTCTCTTAGAAATGCCAATTAAGAAACATAACTTGAAAAATTTAATAGTTGGCAACATATATTGAAAGGCAATTCAGATTGAAAGATGTTGCAGCTCTGCCTCCTCTCTAAGTTCAGGTTTTTTTGTTTTTGTTTTTGTTTTTGTTTTTTTATTGAAGCACAGGGAGAGATATATAAATTCAAACATTTTGGCTTTCACTCTTTAAATCTTGATCTATTCCCTGAGAGTATCATGTCCGCAAGAAACTGGCTGTCTTCCGCTTTGCTAATTCCTCGCATTATAATTGTATTCACCACAAAACAGCCTTCCCTCCTTACCTGTTTCTTAGCAACAAGGGCAATGTCGATCTCTATAGGACTAAGATTTTTATTATGACCTCAAATCAATCAGTTTTTCTAATAAAATAATTCATTAGAACTCACTACTAGCATAACTCCTAAATATTCTATCATTATTACAGACTTCTGATCAATTGAGAGTTATTGAACACTTACTATAAGAAAGCTACCAGCTTGGCTTGAAGATATTTTAAGTACTGCTTCAGAAGAAAGAGCAGAAGGCTATCGTTTCCTTTTATTCCCCTATCTGTAATTTTTCCTTCCTCTCATTGCTAGCCTGGTTTCTTATAACTCAGCAAAGACAAGGTGACACCTGTTATTAAAAAGGTCAAGAAGCCAAGACAAAACCATGGAAGCTAAGAGGCTCATGAACTCTTTTCTTAATTGGACACCCTGATTGTTACAAATAGCATAATCCATCCAAGCTCCAGGTGCCTTCAAGGCCCCTTCTGCTATATTAACTGTCATCTCCCTTTAATGTCCATGGATTGTCAGCATGGAACACGCTTGGCCTTCAGCAGGCTCCCTGTATTGGAGTGTACTATCTGAAGTAACAGAGGCATTTGTATCCCATGGAGGGGAGCAGTAGCAGCTTTATACAGGCCATGTGTAGCTATAAAAAGAGCACAGGGGCCTGTATCAGGAGTTCTGTTTCTGTGTCAGACAGGCTGGGTGACCTTGGATAAGTCCTTTGCCTCTCTTGGCCTGTTTCCTTATCTGTAAAATAGGTTTTTGGTGAGATTTGAAAGACAAAATATTTGCCAAATTACTTTGAAATTTAGACTGTAAATCTATTAACATGCTTAAATTTAAACAGATACAAAGCCACATCTAGACCCTTACCAGGCATGTGAACATAGTGTTAGGTTAAGAGAAAGTAGATGGTGGAAGAAGAGACATTAGTTTTAAAACTTCAAAGGCCATTCCTAAATTGCTTTCCAAACATCTCCAAACACATTCTATATTTCTCCTCAAACCAGAGTTAACTCATATTGTAAAGCAATTTGTGTTTGACATAAATATATATAACCTCATTTTACTTTTGGTCTCCAAATTTTTAAATATATATTCCCTTCCTTAATTTGCAAGTAACTTGATCCAACCTGAGCCCAGGCCCTAGCTTTGTAACTTATTATGTGGCCTTGGCCAAGCCACTTTCTCTGAGTCAGTTTTCTTATAAAAAAAAGGGGGGGGATGAATCTACTTATACTCTTTACAGTTGTTGTGAGGATGAAATGATGGACTACACATACAACTCCTCAGCACAGTAGCTGATACGTGCCAGGCACTTACACAGACTTTTCCCTACTCCCTCCTCTTATAGGAAAGGTCTGGGGCCAGTTCTTGGCTCTGGATTCTATGGTTAGGTAGCTTAGACTCACAGTCTTTATGACGACCCAACTCAGTAGTCTTCAAATGACTGCTAGTGACACTATAAGACAGGGATCTTCAAGACCATTGAGAAATTGTTGGGCTAGACACCAGGAATAATTTCCTGGTTGTGAAAGTTCTTAGGTCTGGAATCCAAAGAAGAGAAGAGTTTTAATTTCTTACCTAGATAACTCTTAAAAACGGTGTGGACAGCCAGAATGTCCTGAAATTCATGACCCACTAATTTTTCTCCAGGTCCTAAAAAACATTGAGCCCTATATTCAGCACTACCTGGGGATGATCTCATTGAGTACTTACAAGACTTTTTGAGGTGGGGCTAACTAGTTCCATTTTCCATATGAGAAAACTGATGCCCAGAAAAAAACAAAACAAAACAAAACAAAACAAAATGGGCAAACTTAA